AAAAAAAAAAAAGTAAAACCCACAACCCCAAGTAACACAGACATTTCTCCACTGCTGAGAATACCAGTACTTCCATGGAGCTTAAACTTTCCCTTGCCAAGAAAGAACAACAGTCCCTATTTATTAAATTAGCAGGGAAAGAGAACTCAGCACAGACAAACGCACCACATCTTTTTCCAGGTAACACTTCTGCTGCTTCTTCCTCACATCACATCCTGAATCTTTCACAACTTGGAGTAGCTTTTTCGCCCCCTCCACTTCCCTTGGCACATAGAGTTACAATGCACTAGACTCACCCTGCAGAGTTAATGTCAACAAAGTGTCAGTGTATGTAGACTGCAAGTTTCAAGAAGTGTTAAATGTAAGTGATTTAAAAATATAACACGTTTTTCAGATTGAGACAACACAAAGTAGGGAATGTATGCAATTGTTCACTTAACCTTTTTATTTTGCAGTAGAAAGTCCAATGAATAAATCGGAAGAAGCACAGGATTTGAGAGTCTCCAAGAAAGATTGCTATAAATGAAAACTACTACTAAAATTATCACAATTTGAACCTATCTATAATAGTTTATTTTCATCTTAGATTAAATGCATGCCTTGCAGGAAGTCTTTCTTTCTCTTCCACAATCAAACCCCAATTATGATGTAATTTTAAACACCTGTCTTCTAGCAATAAACTGAGCATCTTTTGGCTATCTACAGCTTTTTGGTAACAAAACAACCCTTTGCTCTTCTCCCACTGCCTCCTCCCCCAGGAGCTACAACGTTCACATGCAAGTCAGAGGGAAAATAGCTTAGAGAGAAAGAGTGGTTTGCATTGTTGGTAGACAAGAGCAGTGTCATGAGTTGGACTCGATCCTTATCGGCCACTTCCAACTTGGGATATTCTGTGATTCTAGAAGTGTCAATCGTAAGTATAGGATGAGAAGCAAACTTTCAGTCAAGTGTAAAGCCATACGAAGCCCAAGTCCTGGCTGATGGCTACACAACAGAATATAAATGTAATTATCTTCACCTGTCCCCCAGCACTTAGTTTTTAGAAAGGCAGGAGGGGAACAGTGCAGAATTAGTTATCCTCTCTCCAGAAGAACAAACTAAAACTAGAACTTTTTAATCCTATGCTTTCAGATTTATAGATGCTGTTCTCATCAGTTATTTCCTTCTGTACATTTCCTCCAGGTGCAGAGCAAGATTTACAGTAATTCTAAGCCAGCAGATGGCATTAACATCTCATATACCCTAAGCAAACAGAGCTAGCAAATGCTGGATACAGCAAGATTAAAAGCCCTATCTAGGCCTAACAAGGACTTTTCAATGAAAATTTGAACAATGGCATGGAAAATTAACCACGTTCTTGCACGAAGCCTTCCAGTATTTGCTTTGACAAACCAACTCAATTGCCTTCCCCTGCCTGATGGCTGGCTGCGCTTCCTGCCTCTTCTATCAGCACAGCTCCATCATGTCCCTGCCAAGGAACCCACATCAGAACCTCATCATACAAGGCAATAAGGCACTTACATGTTATTGCTGCTGCTGTCATTATATCTTAACAGTAGGATCACATTTTTAACTTGTACTGTAGGCCTTCAGAGTTAAAAAAAAATAAATAAATAAATAAATAAATAAAGGAGGTATGTCCCTACTGAAAGGATGAATTACTGTATAAGATATTGATCTGGGATTGACAGACATGGCTTCCTATTTTCAAAACTTCCAGTGCAGCAGCTGACAGGTTGATCTTCAGTACATCACACTGCCATCAGTAAAGGCAGAGAGATTACTTCCTTACCTCAAATAAAGGTGAGAGGAAAGTCCACTGAACACTGAGGTACCCATATCCTTGTGTTACGGACTCCTAAATGAACATCCTATTCATGGTGGGCAGGTGGTAAAGGGGAACAGAAGGAAATCAAACCTTTAATACACCATTAACTTCATATCAAGGTCCACGATATTAAAACGTGAAGTCAAAACACCATTTTAACAACAGAAACAGAATTGGGAAAAAAAATGAGACAGTTTTGCTTTTCCTTTTCTCCAAAATTTAGAAGATGCTTTGAAAAGGCAAAAGAATTCAGTAGTCAGTTTTTTTCTAAACATTCATTAAAAGGTACTCTTCATGGTGCTGTATAGAATAAGCACCTTCGTTGCCATGAAGAAAAAAGCAGAAATTAAGATCCAAAAAGGACCAGGAATTATTTTCTTCTGAAAATATAACGAAAACAGTATTAGTTTGTGTAGTGAACACATCAGCCACTTTCTGAAGTTATTAAATGAGTGTATTTCAATACTAAATTTCACATTTACTCAACGAGAACTCTCCTACAGAGGCCTTCCGATACTGCTCTACAGGAAACAAAATTTGCATTAGGAAAGTTTATAAGATGTACTTGGATGACCTAGGGGAGACATCTATCCCTAAACACCCCTCTTGTATACTAGAAATCCCACCTTTTTCATGTAAATTTATGCTGAAATTGAGGTGGTTTTGATTTAACCTCAAATTTCACCTTGTGAGTTCCCATATAACAAGTGCCCTTGAAGTAAGTCCAGGATCATACAGATGAAGAAATAAAGAGTTCAACTTCAAGAGTATCTGGGAGAAATAGTACAAGCTTTCACACGCCACTTTCCCCAGTCCTTATGATGAAGGCTTTCCCCAGGGCCTGCACTTCAAAACAGCGGAAACTGAGATGCATGCTTCCACCAAAGCCACAATGCAGAAGCAGCAGGGCGTTTGCCTGCCACAGGTGACCTTTAATGCACAGGGCTGCAGTAGATCTGCTGCATGAGAAAAGGATCGTCAGTGCACAACAAAACCTCAGGCAAGTAAGGGATGTTTGTGGTCAATACACGTATAAAAAGATATAATCTCTTTTAGGAGTAAAGGAGCAGACATCTCATTTTGCTTCTTCACAAGCACAGATCCCTAGAAGTACAGAAGCACGTACTCAGTCACCTCCCTAACCAAGGTAATAATGTGATTTTGCCGTGTACCAGACCTTCAGACCTACAAAAGAACAGATGTTAACTAGCATTATAACCTAACTCCTCCTGGCCTTCTTTGGGGCGTTCAGTATTTCACACTGCAAAAGAATACAGACTGCAGATCATATTCGAGTAATTGGCTTTGAAAAGACAAATTGTGATTTGAAATGCAAAGTTACCAATGACTTACACGTTTAAAACTTACTTCCATGACTTTATCCATCATTTAGGTTTCACAAAAGACTTTCTGTTTCAAAAAGCAATCAAGATGCTAGGTCCAGGACAAAAGTGCTGGTCACTAATAGCTTTCTTTTAGAAAACACTGTCAATACTGTTATTACAGAAATTATTAAACAGATGATGGTAATTAGACACACATGTGCAGTCTAAATTTTGACAAAATCTAGATTTTCCACACTGCAGTTCATTTTAAAAATAACCCTGGTCAAATTTCACTTTTCTCCCATGTAGTTGCATAGCATTTATATGTTCATAAAACAAAACAAGAACAGAGATTTTACACCTGTAAATAGCAGTTGGTGTTTATAAATACAGACTCACAATGATAACTTGTAACTAACAAGAGCCCTCTGCTACAGGAAGTCAATACAAAACCAAAACCCACACCTTGCAATCTGATAAGTTACTTTGAAAGAATACCAATTCCCAAAATGAAATAAAATAAAAACCCTAAACTTCACCTCGTTCTCTGCACACAAGGAGCAATTAACATTAATAACCACACTTCAGGACCGTAACAGCCTGGCTTGGAAACCACTATTCTAGGAAAAAGCAGGTAGTGCAATTAAGGTTACCTAGGCAATGGTACACACGAGCCAAGGAGGAGAAGCACTGCAGAGCTCCAGGTCTGGCAGCCGGCGTGGATGCACGCCCACCTCTGCAGCTCGGGGCTTTCCCCCCCCCACCCCCGAGCAGGGGGATCCCGAGTGCTCGCCCCCTTCCCGGAGCAACGGTGCCCAGCTCCCACCAGGGGACGGTGCTGAGGGCCCCCGGAGGGGGGGCTCCGCATGGCTCCGGCCTCCTGGGGAGGCAGGGGAGGAGGGGGAAGAGAACGAAGAGGCGGCTCGGGCTGGCTCCCCCGGGAGATCTCACCTTTTCGAGAGGTCCATGAGGACCCCGGAGAAGAGCTTCTCCCCCAGCCGGAACGAGACCACCAGGGCGTCCTCGATGATGTGATCCAGGGTGACCCGCACCTCCGAGCCGGGCAGCAGCGGAGCCTCCGCCTCCCCTTCGCCGGGAGCCCCGGCCACCGGCGACTCGGGCTCGGCAGCGGCGGCGGCAGCAGCATCCGGCTCCTCCTCCTCCGGCCGGGACGGCTCCTCCCCGGGCTCCGGCTTCGCGGAGCCCCCAGTAGCCGGCGGGCAGGGCTGCGGCTCCTCCTCGGGAAGTCGGGGCTGCCCAGCAGGCGGCGGGCAGGGCTCGGGCTCCGGGCTGGGCGCTCCCCGCAGCTCAGCCCGGGTCGAAGCAGCCGCCGCCAGCACCGCCTCCGGGGCGGCGGGCGGAGGAGGCGGCGGCTTCTCCGGCCTCTGCGCCTCCGCCTCCCGCCTCCCGGCCGGGCTCCGCGCGGGCTGCGGCTCCTCGGCCTCACCGGGAGCAACCTTGCCGCCGCCGCCGCCGCCGTCGGCCTCCTCCCCGTCGGGCACCGCCGACTCCACGGCCTCGGTGACGGCGGGCAGAGGGTCCGCGCCGGCCTCGCTGCCCGGGATGGGCTCTAGCTCGGGCTCGGCATCGCCGGCCCCGCCGTCGCCCGGCACCGCCGCAGTCGCCGCCGCCTCCGCAGCCGTGGCCGCCATTTTGTGTGCTGCCTCCCTCCAGCAGCGGGATCGATAGCTGCGGCCTTCCCCCGCCCGCCTGGGAGGGAGGGCCCGCCCCCTAGGCTCGCATCCGGCGGCCTATTGGCGGGCGCGCCGCGGCTCTCTGCTCCTACTGGACAGAGGAGCCGTCCGTCAAGCCCGCCTGGAACTTGCTGTTGGCCGGCGGGGACTTCATTCAATAGAAAGCCGGGAAGAGGAAGAAGGGGCGTGGCCACGCGCTTCACCGGCCGCTACGGCCCAGAGGGGCTGGGCTGCTGGGGCCGTCCCGCCGCCCCATTGGCGGAGGGAGGAGCCGCTCACGCGAGAGGCCGCTGATTGGCAGGGGCTGACGTCCATCAGGGGGGCGCGAGGCTGGAGCCGCGCGGCGCTTGGCATGCGCTCTAACGGCGAACGGGGAGGGGGGCAGAAAATGGCGGGGGGGCGGTGCGCGCGCGCTGCAGGGCGCCCTGAGGGGACGCCCTGCTGTGGGGCTGGGCAGGGCCCTCGTCGGGAGAGGGGATGAACGGAAAACGCACAGGAAAAGAGAAAACGTGAGGGAAACGGGGGGCTTGGTTCCTGTCGCAATGGAAATCTGGGCTTTCAAAGGCGACCGGGGTGTGTTGGCGAAGGGGGAGAGCGGGGTGGCGACAAGGGGAGGAGAGCAGCGAGCGTTTGCCCACCTGGCGTGCCGGGTCTGGGGCCCTCTGCCTGTGGGGCCGGTAGTTGATTTGGGGGGGGGGGGGATATTGGACACGTTTTTTCCCCCCAGGTAGGAAATCTTGTATTTCCTGAAGGAAAGTTAGTTGTTTCATGTGACGCTTTACGTTTAGGGAACCTGATAGCTTTTAGAAAGCAGGGAATTGTTAAAGAGGGATGAGGGGAAAAAAAGTGACAAAAGGGTTTTATTTCTGATGTTAGGGTGAGGGATGCATTGCTCGGCGACAAGCGGAACTTCCTGAAAAGTAACAAGTAAAACCTGTAAGAATCTCTTGAAAAATAAAATATTCTTCTTCTTTCAAGTTAGTGGCTTCTATTTCAGGTTTTGAAGTTGCTACCAAGCACATACTTAAGCTAGAAATAGAGCTACATCCAACTTTTTCCTGAAGCTTATAGCTAATGGACACAAGGTACTAATGAAACTTTTGCAAGAGGTACATGGAGAAATCCTTGGCCCAGTGTAAGGCCTGGTAGTATACTTGCCTTTTTTTCCATTGTAGGAAGACAAAATCATGTGTCGTTAAAGGATTACAGTAACAAAAGCAATTCTTAAAATAAATGAGGTCTTGGAGTATTCTTTAAAAGCAAAAAAGCTATGTTTAATATAAGCTAGTAAAAAGCTAGTAAAACACAATCGTGCAAGCTATAGGATTTTAGTAGATAGTATAGGTATGATTAACCTACTCTGTTGACCTGAACATTGTGATTTGACTTACATAACACACATAAAGTCTCTGCCTGTTGTGTCTGATAATGCTTTTCTTTGCATGGTGTTGCGAAGTGTATAAGAAACATACAGGAACATCAGGAAGAACAGCCAGGCGTATTTCTGGAGACAGATTAGAACTAGAGTTAAATTTGCTAAAAATAAAACTGCTTAATACCTTTTTATGTTTTACTGCCATATCTATTAAATCAGTGGTTTGGTAGTATGAGTGGGTAGACTAGAATGTGTTTATTAGGGGAATGAGTAGTAGGTACTGATTTTTTTTAATTATTTTTTCACAGCCTTCCTTGCAGCTTTGTCAATCAGTATCACAGGGAAACAGCAGATGGATTCAGCGTATGATCTGTGGTTTGAAAGAATGTGGTAAGCTTTCCACAAACTGCCTACCATTAGTGTTACTGCCTAAATCATTTCGAAACATTTTTGTTTGACTAAATTTGCAAAAGACCTGTTTTCTGTATCCTCAGGCTGTAACACTTTGAAAGATGGCAACTGTCCGTGAGCCCCTAACGGGCTCTTTCTCAGAATTATGTTCTTTCTCAGATTTCCAGAGAATAGTGAGAAAGTTTGTGTCGCCACTGAATTACATTAGTTTCAGAGCTAGCCCTCAGCAAGGATTTCGGTTTTAGTTCAGATCTGAGATTTTTTCTTCTGTTTGTTCGCCCAAGGAGAATGCAAGAGTGGCACTGGAAGACTTGCAGAAGCTGAAAATGATGCAAAAATAATTCTTATCTTGAAGGAGCACGTGATAGAAAGAAGTGATCAAAGAAGTGATCTGCTTGTTCTTTCATTATTTTGTTTGTGTGATTGTGACAACAAGTGATACACAGGAGAAACTTTTTACCTTATTCAGCTGAGTCCTAGAGCGGATTAAAAAGCCATTAGTGAAGACAGCTCATATGTAACACCAGAACTGTTTTTATATTACTCTCTTACGCAGAGAACCTGACTGTGCTTGGAGGTACTCCAACTGTATTTCACCAGTAGACCTAACCATACTCTGCATACGCAGAGGTATGCTCAGCTGTTCTAAGGCTGGTTTCCCTACGCTGTCTCACACTCACAGTAATCTATTTGTTCTACCCAAGTCTGATATTGTGAGGAAAAGGCATCAGGTTGGTTAGTAGGGTTGGCAGGGTGCAGGGATGCTTATTTACATCTGTTCTATCTTATGCTCAACTGACTTACTCAAGAGAGGTCAAAAACTTCTGATTATCAGGAAGCTCAGAGAAGTTTGCAGAAGCAAAGCTACCAAACAGCTTTCATTCAGGAGAATCCAGAACTGGTGTGGTCCTTACTACAAAACAGCATGGCTTGTAGGTGCTTCATGTGGTTGGGGAATTGTGCTCTCTGGTCAGTTCAGTTAGCCACAGTTCATTTCTCTAGTGCTGCTCTGCCGTGGCAACGAAGAACAGCAGTAAATTCTGAGCCTACAAGAAATTACCAACTAATAGGAAAAGACTACTCAGCCCTTGACCTAATGGGACATAGCTCTGCCCAGCAAGCTTTTTGTTATGTTAAATTCAGCTTCTGTAAAGGATGAACATAAAACAGAACATTTCCTCTTCCAAAACTTCAGGGAGATTAATGCTTACTGAAAGCCACTCTGCTTTTCATCAGGTGTTGCTTATGGCAGACAGTTACCATTAAAATGCTAAAACTAATCTTTTACTTCTACTGGAGTCCCCAGCAGTCCTTATGCAAAGCAGGGGAAACAAACTTGGGTGTATGGCTTTGTTAACAGTGCTTGAATTGTATCATTGTAATAACAAACAGGAGCTAATGTGCCTGGCCCAGCAAGAGGGTCTTAAAAATGCTATGTAAACAGCTCTTTGGCAATATTATTTACATGTTCAAAGGTGCTATATGTGCTTTTAAAAAGAGGCAAATAAAGACATTTGTACGCCACTTTAATCTAGTGGCCAACAGAAATATGATACCATAGGTAGCCCTTAGATGGGAGCCTGCTAACAGTAGGCACGTTAGATGCAGGATGAAACTTGTTCATTGAACAAAAAAGCTCTTGCTTTTTAACTTTACTCCATCTCAAACTTCTTTGATCACCACTTAATTTCTATTTATTTTAAATCTAGCCTTCAGTCTCTTGAGAATAGGGTTTGCCTTCCTGTGGCTGGTTTGCATAGTGATTAGCATAGCTGGGGCCTTGTTTCTATCCTGCAGCCTTTACAAGCTGCCAAAATCATATGAATAAAGTTAATGAAACAAATTGTACTCATGCACACTTGCTGTAGATTAAAGTGAGTCTGTGTTTAGCAATTGGCAGAAAGGCCATAAGTACAAAAGAAACAAAAGAATTTAAGAGAGGAAGGAACTCATAAAATTGGAGTAAGTATCATGAATTTGAAAGTAGGAAAATGCAAAGCTATATGAAGATGTGCTAACTGCATTTTGGCAGACTGGGGGTGGCAGGAGAAGCTGTAGTAAGCTTGAGCTGAGTGACTGAACGGATGTGATGTGGTTGTGTGGTTCCTGTAAGAAGCAGATATGGTTGTATCTGTATGTATTAGTATACAGCACTGGAAGAATTGTTTGAGTAAGCTGGGATGTGATAAGGATCACCTCTGGCAGACTTGACTGTTTAAAGGCTTGTGCTGCCAGATACTAATTAATGATACTGATGTGTTCTGTCCTGACAGGAATGTATTGTTGGACTGAAGTAAATATGAATAGGAAATTTTGAAGCATGTGAACAGTCACAGCATGTACATGTATATGTTTCAACTGTGTGGTACGTATGGTTTTGTTATAAATAAAGTCTCATCTCAATCTGAATTTAATATTTATACTTATAAAAGGTACAAAAGGTGTTATAAATGAAGTCTCAACTCTGAATTTAGTAACATAAAAGAATATTTATAAAAGGCAAGTAAACAGCGCTGGGTGCGCAGGGAGTCTATGCTCTACCACAGTGCACACACAAACATCAAACATTCTAAATATACAGAACATTGCTTTACATACTAAACCCGAGTACGCCTATACATATGTACAATCAGAAAAGGTAACAAACAATCCTTTAAGTTCCATGACTTAACAGTCTCCATTTTCCATTCCTTTTCTTGATTACAAACAAGTCTCTATTTTCCATTCCGTTTGAATAGTATGTCTTGCTTTAAGTTGGCAAGCAACTCGGTCCTGATTCAGGCCTTATGTATCCCGTTCTTCCTGGATCGAAGAAAAGCATATCCATCTCCTTTTCAAGGCCAATAGGCCTGGGTCAAAAGGCGCGTTCAGGGCAGCAGGGGGCATAACAGCAAAAGCCTTCCATGGCTGTGGCAGCAGAGAGGCCCATGGCGTAGCAGTCGGATCAGTAAAGGAGCCCGCAGCTCCCTCACTGTCTGGCATCCACACGTTTGTGATTGTGGCTCCACATGGCTCTTTAAGGCCTCTGAGACTGCTCGCCAGGTGCCGAGCAATCCCACTGCAACCCTGCCATTTTTAGTAGCAGAGTCCCACACCTTAACATAAATTTGGTCCCATGTTTCAGGATCATAAACTGTCTGATTGTTAATAAGGAGAATAAGCTGTAAGGTTAGCAGGACAGTCTTTGTTCCTAAGGACGTGTGATTCCCCATAATGCGCAACTGCTTACCAGTGAGAGGCAGTTGTGTGCACGGGTCTGCTTCTCTCAGCTCGAGCTTCTCTCCAGCTCCAGTGCGCCTATTTCCAGCGACTTTCTGTACGAGCTTCTCTGAGCAGTTTGCTGAGTTTGGCCGAACCTATCTTCATGAGGCAATCAAAGTGCCTGTTCCCGTCCTGGTCTCCATTCTGCTAGCTTGTTCCTCTTCACTCCCTTTTCCTGCTTCTTTATTGATGATGTAACTTAATCGTGTTGCCTTTTTTTTTTTTTTTTTTATCCTGAGGGCAGGCTCCCCTCTTATACCCTTCTCCCCACAGCAGTTCTTTTCAAAACAACTTTTCATTGGTCAAACAACTTTGGAAATAACAGCAACGGAAACACCCAGAAATTTCCATGCCTTAATGTCTGGAGAACAAGAAACCGGAGACTGCATGGGGTCTCCTGAATCACCCTTCTTTGTTCCCTCTAAACTCTTTTACATTCCTGATGGCCTCATCGTTAAAAGTCTGATGTTATCATCAACCACGGGCTTTCTGACCCCCATGGCCACACTCCCAAATCTCCCCCTTCTTTATTAATATCAACCATTTTCTCGACATGAATTACCACTCCATATATAACAGTTTTAAGATGTGTAGTGGTAACGATGTCATTCTGTCTGCACCAAGTTCCATAAAATGCACTACCAGGAAGGGGACAACACAACAGATCACATCTGTGCTGCAAGGTTGCAATGGAACAACGTACATAAACAGAGTATAATTAGGATTATAGTGAAGCCAAAATGGATTTTTGCAGCATATGCAGAAACACTGGTCATCCCGTAAGTTGATTTAGCCGCTGTTACAAGTGAAGCTGTGATAGCAGACTCAAGAATGGGCTGCACCCTGGTAATTGCTTGGTAGCCAGAATTTGTGTTGTTACTGGTATCCAAGATGGCTGGGTACGTGCATGTTCTCTGTGTCCATTCAGGCTGGGATTGCTCTGTCTTAATGTAGGCATATAAAAGGCTTAACTATGGGGGAATAAACATGTTTTTTTTGCAGAGACATATTGTTTAAAGGTAAGTAATGTGGTACTGAGATGTGCTTGCAGTGATAAGAAAACTTAGCAGGAGACCTTGTAAAATGCAGACAACCACACTCCTTAGAACAATTAGGTGAAGATCATGGTGTCAAGTCAGATAAGTGAAGAAACATTACCACTTCAAACAGTAAAAAAGTCAAAAGAAATTTGAAATTTAACAGGCCGGCAACTGAAGGCCATGCATTGTTTGTGAAGCATTGGATAGGTTGTGAACCTGGATTACCCAGTCAATGGGGAAACAGGGGAGGGTCCCGGTCATTGAGAAATAAAGTATCTAAACCGTACTGTGTGACCGGTAGGTGTGCTCCTGCTTGTGGGGCACCTGCCATTGCAATCGCGAATAAATCACTACTTCAACTGAGATCCTCGCCTGAGCCTAAGTTATTGGCTACGGAGTGTTTCTCACAATTTGGGGGCTTGTCCAAGAGCCAGTCACCTACTGCAGAGCCCCACCAGTGCAGCAGCAGGAAGGCATGCCCCGCTAATTTCTGCCACCCTGTGCATGGACGGTGGCGGTTCTGTGGAGAGCTGACAGGGGGCCAGAGACTGATTAAAGAGGCAGGATCCGTGAAGTAGTGGGGAAAGGAAGAAGGTAGGCACTCCGGGTTTTAAGAATCGATCCAGTAACTCTGTGCATAGACCAAGGTAAGAAATATTAAGTATTGCCTTGGGGGTCAGGCGAGGCTCTGCATGGTGTGTGACTGAGACGTACTTTTGTACAAAGGAAGTGTGGAGTCCTGATCCACAGTTCCATGGCTCTGCAAGACCGGGAAGGAGGGTTCCATAGCTCCGCGAGGGGCACAGCCAGAGATGGACGACGCATGAGGTGAGGGAGAGAAAGGATGAGTCTTGGGAAATTTGGTGTACGGTAAACACTTGCATGGGGAAGTGCTTGGCAGTACACCAGGGAATCTGGTAAGCTCATAGGCGTGTGGTACTCCTTGCACAGGGAAGTGCTTGGCAGGACACCCCCATTTTCCAGAATTGGAACGTTAGTGTGTGGTGCCCTTCAGGAGGGAAATTTCTGTAGCAGCACACTGACAAGGGCTAGGAAAAATAGGAAATAGGAGTTCCAGTGGACAGAAAGATATCCTTGGGGGAGTGCCTACTGACAGTTCTTCCTGAAGAATGATAAGAAATCGGAAAAATAATCTCAAAATTAGAGGAGATGATAAAAGAAAAAAAAAGGTTAAATATTGTGTATCAGTCTGGACACAAGAAACAATTAAGGAAATAGCAGTATTGTGGCCAAAACATGGGTCTGATGAAAATTCAGGCTTTAAATTTATATGTAAACAATAAGATTACTTTTTTTGGAGAAGGAGACAAGTTATGGTCCTTATAATCCTGATATTGTGCCGGTTCCAGCAGCAGTCTCTCCAGGAAGGGAGACAGGGACTGCAATTCACACTGTCCCTAGAGAAGAGTGTACTCTAGGCTCTGGCAAGAATTAGAACAAGGTAGAAGAGATACTGAGAATTTTGCCTTCCCTGATGCTAACAGTACTAACACTAACTGAGTATGCTCTTAGGTGAACTCCGCCCCTTCCTTACCAGCAGAGAGGTTAGGAGTTTTAAGAAGGAGATCTTAGTTAAGTCTTTAATTGAGGACCCCATCAGGCTAGCTGAACTATTAGACCAGTTCCTAGGACCTAATGTATACTCTTGGGGGGAAATGATGTCTATACTAAGTATGTTGTTTACAGGGGAAGAAATGAGAATGATCAGGAGGAGAGCTGCTGTACAAGAATGGGAAGGAGCTCATCCTCTGGGACTGGGGGTAATACCAGCAGAGCAGGGGTGCCCATTTGCCCATCCTGGCTTGAGTGGTGACAGTGGTGATAGGCACAGAGCTTGTGGGGGAGACTTGGAGTCAGGGTGGGGGAGTGCTCAGGGTGAGTCCCGAGGACTCAGTATACCAAGGGGTCTTGAAAGTTCATTTTGTGATTAAAGCCTGGCAAGATACACAGAAAAAGCTCCAGAAGGTGGGGGGATATAATGAACAGTCACTGGGGGGGTCTCCTGCAGGAAGCCCTGAAGGTGTATGTCAGGAGGGGAGACGAGAAGGAAAAGCAGAGAGCAAAACTAATGGTATTGACAGTGTACCGGGTAGTGAGGCAGAGGGTTGGAGAAAGAGGAAGAAAAGTTTCAGAGGGCGTCAGGGCCAGGATGGAAAAGTGAGGAAGAGAGATGAAGGAATGGCAGGCAAGGAAAGCTCAGGGACAGGCTTTGAAGTGTGGCCAGGCTGGCCACTTCAAATAGGAATATCCGTAGTGGAAGCGAGAGGAAAGAAGGAAAATGGGATGAAATATGGTATACTGATATGTTGTTTCAGCATCCTGGAGGGAGAAAGGTATGGAATTAAGTTGGCCAATGATGGAGCCTTTGGTGAAAGTACAGGCTGGAGAAAGATAGAAAGAAGTGTTAAAAAGGGTTGCTGAAGGTGTTAAAGGTGTGGCATGTAGCATCTGACAGAGCTGTTTGAAGTTGAATGAGCAGGGAAATAGGATGTAGGCATTGTCTAAGTAACAGTCCAGAAGTTTTGGTATATTTGCTGTGGTGTTTGGTCAGTTTCCCGAGGGGGGACAGCCTGCTCCACCACTGGCCTCTCCTCAGGCCGCAGAGGGGCTTTGGCTCCAGCGCCTGGAGCACCTCCTCCCCCTCCTTCTGCGTGACTTTGGTGTCTGTGGGAAGGTTTCTTGCTCCTCACTCTCCCAGCTGCTGTTGAGCAGCAGGATTTTGGTTTTTTTGTTTTCTTGGATGTGCTGTCACAGAGGCACAGACTATGTTGCTCATGACTTGGCTCTGGGCAGCGGTAGGCCCCTTTGGGGACAACTGAAATTGTCCCTTATCTGCCACGGGGAGGCTTCTGGATTTTTCTCGTGTGGGCTGCTGCTGCAGCCCCCCCCCCCCGAACCTTGCCATCGAACCCAATACACTGGGGCAGCTAGGTCATTAGTGGCTTGTAAAGTATCAGGGATTAAATTAACTAATGAAACCCTTAAAAGTGATGGGGGTAGAAGGGGTTGGGATAACAGTGCCACTTCTGGAGGATTCCAAGCTGAGACTAGGGGATAAAATGATCACTGGGCAATTATTGTATGTACCCAAGGCAAGGACTAACTTGTTGGGAAGGGATTTGATGATGAAATTGGGCATTCAAATAGTAAATTGTTAGACTGGAATAACAATGTTATTAATGGAGTGCTCTCAGGCCCTGAGAGCAAAGATATATTCACTTCTGACTGGAAAGACCCTGAAATGGGGGCGGAAGCAGCAATATAGGTGGACAGTTTTACCTCAGGTTTACAGGGCCACCAATTTATTTGGGCAAGTTCTAGAACAGATTTTGGAGCAATTGCAACCTCCCAAGGAGGTATTACTGTTACAAATACGTAGATGATTTTTTTATTGTCAGGACAGGAGAAAAGAGTTGTGAAGGAAGCGACTAACAAGCTATTCAACTTTACGGGAAAGCAGGGCTTGGGAGTATTGAAAAATAAGTTACAATATGTAGAAAGAGAAGTCAGGTATTTAAGGCATTTAATATCTGAAGGAAAATGAAGAATAAATCCAGAGAGGATTCAGGGAACTGTTGAAAATTAAGAAAGAACTAAAAAGTTTTAAAAGAAAGATTTTTTTTTAAGGAATCAGGAGCCATGAAGTCTGAAGGAAAATGGATACTCCCTGAAGGGAGAGAAATGCTGAATAAAGCACCAATGAGGCAAATATTAATTGTTTTACATCAAGAGAGTCATTGGGAGGTGCAAGCAGTGTGTGATGTGCCAAGTACATGTATGTCTGTGTAGGAATATACACTTCAGTGAAGCAAATATGCAGAGGATGTACCACGTGTCAAAAGGTAAATGAAAAGGTCATCCATAACCCACCTAGAGGGGGACGGAAGCCAGGGATTCGACTTTTTCAAAGTATACAGGTAGACTCTACTGAGTTACCTGAAGTAGGGAGACTTAAGTACTTGTTTGTCCTAATTGACCATCTGACTGGATGGGTGTAAGCTTTCCCCTCGGTATCTGCCACTGTGATCACAGTGGCTAAGGTATCACTGGAGCAAATAGTCCCTAGATATGGGATAGTTGAAAACATTGATTCAGATCAAGGAAGTCATTTCACTTCACAAGTACAGCAAGGGTTCATGCAGGCCTTAGAGACTGAGTGGGATTTTCACACCCCCTGGCACCCCTCTTCTTCTGGGAAGGTGGAGCAAATGAACCAGACGTTAAAGAAGCGATTAACTAGATTAGTGTTAGAAACCAAACTTCCTTGGGTAGAATGCTTACCTGTAGCACTTCTACAGGTTCAAACAGCACCAAGGAAGGATATAGGAATTTCACCATATGAGATGCTGTTTGGATTACACTATCTGGGCAGAAGGGATGAGATACCACAATTTGAAACAAGAGAGTTTTCTTAAAAATTGTATTCTGGAGTTGTCCTCTTCTTTGTCATCTCTCAGGACCCGTGGGCTGTTGGCTTAAACCCCGCCTTTGGAATTCCCCATTCACCACCATCAACCAGGAAATTGGGTCCTGATTCGGACCTGGAAAGGATCAACTCCAGCCTGAATGGGAAGGACACAAACCACTACTAACCAAGTACTACTAACCACTGAAACAGCCATAGGAACTGAGGAAAAAGGTTGGACTCACTATACTCGAGTGAAGACATCCGTTGACCCTAGTACCTGGGAAACTGTTCCTACAGAAGACTCGTTGGAAGTTGAAATCGAAGAGTAAAATCTCATTGTGGACTCTGAGCGGGATAAAAGCTTACAATTGTAAACTAACCTTTTATTTTCACAACTAATGAGTGTGACTTGTGATTGAGAGAAAGGACAGACCTATAACAAATTGAAGTGCTCCCAAGGGGGGGTTGTTACAGTAGTAGTTTACATCTTATTCTTTGTATTGATGATTATTTGGAAACAAAAGGTTTAAAAATAATGATAGGGAAAAATCAATTTTATTTTTTCAGTGATTGTAGGCCTCAGAAGGCCTTAGTCAATTGGCAGCTTGGAAAAGACATGACCAGATGATAGTAAGACAGGATACCCTGTAAAAATATGGGTGGATGTGACAGAGGGTTATGTACTACAATCTGTCATATTTGATGCTTGTGAGGTGTTAGCTTGTGGAGATTTAATTGTCCAACGACAATTGAGTAGAGAGAACAAATAACTGGGAGAGACCCAACAGACAGATTGAGAATGGCTGTATGGAAACGGTCCTCTATTGCCATCAGAGAAAGGGAGAAACTCAAGGAGAAAACGAGAGAAAACAGGAGGCCCTCTTTGAAATGCAGCAGTTCAAACATTTGAGATTGAAACAGGGTATGGGGATGTGAATGCCTGGATAGAATAGGTCAAATATACCGTCCAGAGTCTCAGCCATGGCAATTGCTATGCTTGTGCCTTGGGATGACCAATTGCCTTGATAGTGCCCTTCCCATTGGGGTGGACCAAGGATTCCCAGGAGATGCGGTGTATGATTGCATTGTACCAAGAGAAGACTGCCTGGGGAAATGAGGCCTGTAAGTCTCTCTCTTTGCTGTTCCCTTCCTTGCATGATAGCAATATCAGGGTTCCCCCTTCATTCTCTACAGCTATAGGTAACCATACAGTGTGCCTCTCAAGGCAGGGTGTGAGTGGTACCCGGCATCTGGGAGAATTTGCCTTGTGCACGAGGACCTTGAACGCTACTAAGGACTTGATGGGAAACTGCTCAAGACTTGAGGCCCCCAGGGCAGATCTCTGGTGGTACTGTGGAGGGAAGATCTTACGGTCCACCCTACCATCTAATTGGGGAGGTACTTGTGCACTTGTTCAATTAGCTATACCCTTCACCCTGGCATTTGAAAGAGAAGCATCACAAATACCCAGAAGAAGTAAAAGAAGCTTAGGTGTATCATTTGATGGTAAGAGTATACATAGATTCTATTGGGGTGCCTAGAGGAGTTCCCGATGAACAGAAAGCCAGGAATCAAACTGCTGTAGGGTTCCAGTCACTGTTCTGGTGGGTAACAATCAATGAGAATGTGGATTGGATTAATTATATTTATTATAATCAGCAGAGATTCATAAATTATACAGTGGATGTGATAAGAGGAATTGCTAAACAACTGGATGCCACCAGCAAAATGGCTTGGGAAAACAGAATAGCATTAGATATGATGCTTGCAGGGAAAGGAGGTGTGTGTGTGTGATACTGAGCAACCACTGTTGCAGTTTTATACCCAACAATACTGCCCTGGATGGCACAGTAACTAGAGCATTGCAAGGGCTTACCACCCTTGCCAGTGAATTGGCAGGAAAATAAGGAACAGGCACTTCTATCACTGGATGGTTGGAATCTTGGTTTGATGAATGGAAAGGGATGGTAGTGTCCATCCTTCATCATAGTAGCAGGAGTTTTGACAGCTGTTGGTTGTTGCGTTATCCCCTGTGTAAAAGGACTAGTACAGTGGTTAATTGAAAGTGCACTATTGAAACAAGTGACCATGGAGCCACCACCTCACTCAGATAAGATGGTGATATCAGAGGAGATGGAAAGCAAAGAAAGTGAAGAGGAATATATCTACCAAATTACACCTTAGAGAAAAGTTTTGCGAAAATCAACAATTTAAAAAGAAAAGAAGGGAGGAATTGTGGGAATAAACATGTTGCTTTTGCAGAGTTACATTGTTTAAAGGTAAGTAATGTGGTACTGAGATATGCTTGCAGTGATAAGAAAACTTAGCAGGAGACCTTGTAAAATGCAGACAACCACACTCCTTAGAACAATTAGGTGAAGGTCATGGTGTCAAGTCAGATAAGTGAAGAAACATTACCACTTCAAACAGTAAAAAAGTCAAAAGAAATTTGAAATTTAACAGGCCGGCAACTGAAGGCCATGCATTGTTTGTGAAGCATTGGATAGGTTGTGAACCTGGATTACCCAGTCAATGGGGAAACAGGGGAGGGTCCCGGTCATTGAGAAATAAAGTATCTAAACCGTACTGTGTGACCGGTAGGTGTGCTCCTGCTTGTGGGGCACCTGCCATTGCAATCGCGAATAAATCACTACTTCAACTGAGATCCTCGCCTGAGCCTAAGTTATTGGCTACGGAGTGTTTCTCACAAGTGGATATATGGGTTTATGCGTTTTATGGATTATTTATAAGGAGTGTTTATAGTGTCTTGGTAGGATAGCAGATTTTTTTTCTAGTATCTAGACACTTACGAAAGATTTTTAAGTTAGAGACTTACACTTTGAAGTAGTAACAAACTTGCTGAGATTCTGTGGCTCCACAGGACAAGGGATTTTGCGTTATGTACAACCAATAGCTCCAGTCTTTGCTGGCCCTTCAGCAGCAGCGCTGAGACATAGCACAGTATGGGAAACATAAGGTTTCTCCCTTGGTCAGTTTGGATCATAGTGGCAATAGATTCCTGAGGCTGCCATAGCAGCAACAGTTTCCTGTAACCCTGAGCAAGGTTTGAGGGTGTCAAAAACTATCTGCAAGTCAGAGTTTAGGGACTACAGTTTCATACTGTGCTATTAAATCCATTGCAACATTATTCAGTGCTTCCAAGTCATGGTCTCCTATTGTGATATATTCAAGGCTTTCCTACTTAAAAGAAAAAGTGTAACCAAGGAAAGCTCATGTATCTAAGCAAGGCAGAGAAGTATAAGCAAGTAACAAAGGAAAAGTTGGGTCTTGATCATATGCTGCAGTCTTGGTGCTTCTATAACAAGTTGGGAAAGTAGCGCTCTTAGGAGTTATTTTCTGTACGTTTAAACTGTTTTCAAACGTCATTATTGATTGTGGAGGGGAAAAAAAAAGTCCCTCATTCCATTTATGTTTGGTAACTGATTTTAGTGGCTATAAGAATGTTGAGTTTATTTTACTAGGTTTATGAATGGTTTTAAAGAATTCATAAAATCTCACTGTATGTGTGCATGTGTACCCCAGAAGTCTACCCTGGAACTTGAAAAGTTAATTACATTGCTAAATTTCTTTCTGTTGCTTAAAAAAAATTGCAAATGTAAGTGAGCCCTTGGGGCAAAGCACTGGCATTAGCTCACTGCTGACATGTCTCGCACTTCTCTTATAATTTTAAAGAAGTGTGGGTCTGAAACTACTTCCTGCCTTATCCTGTAATCTGATTTCTGCCATCCTCTGAAATTTTTGCCTCTGTAGGTACTTGTGATATCTATGCCATATCTCCGCATATTCCATTCAAATAAAATAAAACAATTCTGAAGATGTAAAGTCGCTAATACTGATGTTTCATATTTCAGGATCAAAAGCCTTATGTCTAATTTCTAAGGGTACATACGTTTTAACTGTCTTTAACAAAAAATAAATAAATTTTTCAGTAGTGTAAGCTAAAGAAAAAGACCTACACTTAACATGCACTAAAAGCAGGGTATGTACTGTCACAAACCCTGATCACTATTATTCAATCATTAACTTATTGATTATAACTTATTCTTAACAGATCAAGTGCCAGTTCTCTTCTCACACATGTACGCTAGTCCTTCCTTTTCCACAGGTGCTTATTATCAGTATTAAAAGTTGTGGTGTGGAATGAATGAATTCATTTATGATTCATTTTTCTAGAGATCTGCTAGAGTGATCAATTTCACTGAGACTTGGAGAGTAAGGAAAGCAAAATTAGTCTAAGATGTAATCAAAGAATTGAAGAGTAGAGTTCACAGAGTTTCACAAATCATCTCAGGACGTGAGCCTTTGCAGTGTTGTGGACATGACATGTATCAGTGTACCCAGAAGAAGCTGCTGGGCTAGGATGCTACTCTGCCAGCACATGAACTGCCTTGTGCCTGAGGTGGGTATGAAATGCTCCAGTTCCTTCTTGCTGGAGGTGCAAACCTCGTGGTGCACTGGCAGCCCATCTGACTTGTTCATCGAGCTGGTAAGGCAGGAAAGTACTTCTCTTCTGCTGCTCTGATATACAGGGTATCTTTGGTCTGGAATATGCTAATTGGTAAACGTGGACCTAGATGATTAAGAAAGTTCATTTTTCAAGAGCAGCTTAGCCAAAATGGGAGGTATTTATATGACCTAGTTTTAGGTGCGTAAATTAAACAGCCATTTTAGGAGCTCTGTGTGGAGAAAGGAAACACTCTCAGGAGAGTGATTCAAAAAGGTACTCTAAACTAGCTTTGAAATCTCCTCGGATGAACATAGAATCATAGAATATCCTGAGTTGGAAGGGACCCTTAAGGATCATCAAGTCCAACTCTTGACACCGCACAGGTCTACCCAAAAGTTCAGACCATGTGACTAAGTGCACAGTCCAATCTCTTCTTAAATTCAGTCAGGCTCGGTGCAGTGACCACTTCCCTGGGGAGCCTGTTCCAGTGTGCGACCACCCTCTCTGTGAAGAACTCCCTCCTGATGTCAAGCCTAAATTTCCCCTGCCTCAGCTTAACCCCATTCCCGCAGGTCCTGTCACTGGTGTTAATGGAGAAAAGGTCTCCTGCCTCTCGACACCCCCTTACATCTGTCCTTCTGACTATCTAAGTACGCTCATTTCTCAATTTAAACATTAAAATTGTGATTATCGTGAGCACTGCTGTATTTGGAATAGATAAGGAAGGGTCTGCAAACATTAACGAGTGTCTGGTAGGGCAATTAGTGACCAATGGGGTGAGGCATCTAGCTGCATTTTGTCTCAGTTTGAGCACTAAGGCCAAGTATTCATGAAAGCATAAAGGCTTTCAGCTCTTATTGATTTTGTAACTAAATCAGTACTTAATACAATTTCCAATTCTTTATTCAGAAATAAACTTTTTTTTTTTTTAATCTAAGTTTTTTAAACAGACGTAAGTATTACAGAATTGTTCTTCCTCGACAGTTTTTTTTATTATTATTATTTTTTAAGTTTCACCAGTGATTTTAGGAAAGTTTAGTTTTCCTGTTCTAAAACAAAGCCGTGTGTTTTGTTTCTCCATGTTTTGCAAATTATAACTGGGATATTCTCTTTGGGTGACTCTGTTACTGCCAAGAGCAGCATGCTTGGGGACTGTTACTGAATTTAAGATTTGGAGAAATCAAGAACTTGTTTCTTTTAGATGTTAAATTTTTTTTTTCTTGCTTAAAGTCTTCCTTGTGTAATGAACACAATAGAATAAAGTCATTACTCAAGTTTTAGATGATCTTTTAGCAAGAATTTCAGTGTTTTAGCATAAATAAAAGGTGGTACTGAAAAAAAAATCTAATACAAAGGGAAACATTTTGCTTCAAGTATTCTAAACAGTGCTCTTCCCTTCTGTGGGAATGCAAACCTTTATATATTCTGCCTTGGATATGGTCTTCTGTTCTAAGTTTGTGGCTCAACATAATTATTTTAAATTTTATTAATAGGAATACTTGTATATGCTCCTTTTTACCATGTCTAGCTGCTGCTTTTGTATCCCAATCACGTGTCCATTCACATTTATAGATTTTTACAAGTGAGAACTTATATCTCAGTTCCAAGATGATAAATTTATGGGAAAATCAAAGGAATGTTTTCAAACTCTGAAATATTTCTAATCAAACTTCCTAGATTTGATGGGGAATGAAAGAGCTACTATGTCTTGCCAAGAACATTGTGTAGACACTTAGTTGTGAAATTCTCCTGTAGTTCTTCAGAGTCCTTTAACTGTAGTTATAGCTAACTCTATAACTCTAAAACAGTTGAAGCATTAAGAGTCCATAGGTTTTCTGGAAGCTTATTTTAGCAGAATGCTTGTTTAGGTTTGGCTCCTATGTTTATTTAAGCATTTACCATGGCAATCTTTTCAGGATCTTCCCTTTGGTTTTTAGATTCTAGCTCCTTTCCTCTTTGATGCCTGATGGTACCATCTCCCTTGACATTCTACCAGAAATTAGTTGATAGATAACTATTCTGTATTCTGTGGAGTTTTACCCCTTCAATTTTTAAATTGAAGAGAAAACTTTAAGTGGAAACTAATCGTTCCTTATTTATGTTTGTTTGTTTTTCCTTCAGTGAGGTTTTTGGCATAGTGTGTGTCAGTTACACACTGACATGGTAAACAGGTCTGGGCCTTACCTAGATTTGAATAGCAGATCCCTACAGAACACTCAAATGATTTACTAAATGACTCAGTCTTTCCCTGAATCAGTGCTACATCAGCATCCTACCACTGAGTAATGGATCATGCAGCAGAAGAGTTTGCTCATGAAAAGTATTACGGAACAATCCTTTTTATGGATGCTCTGTTCTGATGGAATAAGGCTTTCCGAAGTGAGGCCTTGCCATGCACCTTTTTTTTCTTATAGTGAAATTTTACCTGAAACAATTGTTTGCAAGGTACCCTTGCAACTGTGGTGGAATCTCTACAGACTGCATTATCATCAGTAGAGATGACCTTGATGCTACGGTCATACAGTGTGGAGGGCTCTGTAGTTGTGGTTCTAGTTGCTAACTGAGTTTTCTTTTACTTTGCATAGCAGCAAGCAACAATTCCAGGGTTTGTTTTGAGGGCAGGATATTGCTAATGTTAATCAGCTTTAGCTTGAGGCTTTATCCTCTGAGTGGCTCTCTTTGAACTGGAATACCTACTCTAGAATTAAACGCACTGTTTTCTCTGTGTATTTTGAAAGTAGTTATCCAAGAATAATTGAAGCTCGTTCCACCAAGAAAGCTGATCCAGACTGGGTATCAGAGAGTAGCTTTTTTTCCTGCGCAGTTTCCCTGGCAAAACAAGCCCTTCAAGTGAGGTGCTGTCTTTAACAGGAAGTGCAAAAGAGGCAACTAATGTTTCTCCCATTATTTTTTCCAAGAGTTAGGATATTAGTTTTGATGACTTTGATATTTTCTTTTGTGTATGTGTTTTTGTTTGTTTGTTTGTTTGTTTGTTTTTTCTCTTTAGTTGAACTGAATGCAGTAGCCTTAAGTTACAGTTGGAACGTTCTAAGCCCTGCTCTGGAACAGGGTTAGGTTCTAGCCCATCTGGGAGACAGGTTTAGAAGCTTCTCTGTGGCTTTATCTCCCTGTCATCATGTCCTCTTTCATCATAGGTACTGCATCAAGCTATGATTATGATGCATTTGAATCACCCAGAGATTTATTTATATAAGTAGCAGTGTTCTGCCAGATTTGATGCTGCATCAAAAGCAATACAGAACAGATTCTTAAATCTGTTTCCTCCTTCCTTGGCTCTGGAGTTCCAGTCAAGAATGTCTAATTTAATACATTCTGTGCATTATGCATGGCTATTAAGGTATTTTCTACCATGAAAGGAGCTACTTGTAACTAAGGCTATGTAAGTATTTACATTACAAACTAGTTCTTTGAGACACCTATGGAAGAGAAAATTTCAAGTTTTGTATGAAAAGTGTAAAGTGATTAAATGGAAATGAAAGGCTAATTTATCAAAAGCCAAGCGCTCTGGCTCCAAGTCTCAACCATTCCAGTCAGCAAAACAAAATCGCATCATGATTAAATGATCACAAATTATATTTCATTCAATGCAATAGATCTTGTGATATTCTATATGCAAGTGAGTTTCAGAATGTTTTCTCAGAAATAGACCAATCTATTTGACTAAAGGTTTGAAAAATGAATTATACAGTACTGAAAAATACAACCAGTTATTTAAAGGCTATCTAAACAAATGCATACCAGGAGACAAAAGATGTGTCCAATCTTACTTTTGGCATTGCCTAACTCTTCTGTTCTTACCCATGCAAATTCTGTCTTTTGTTCTTTGACTTGTTATTTTTTTCTAATTAGGGTGTAAATACAATTATTTTCTCTATGTATACATCATCTTACTCCATTAATTTTTTTTTCCTTCAATCTCCCTTAATTATTTAAGAATGCAATTTGTGAGAAAGCTCCATGGAATGTTTGATGCAAATAATCAAAGCAATAAGTATTTATTGAAGTTTTTCTGGCCACATATTTCACATGAGTTAAAGAATCTTAGAACTATGAAAGATGGAGGAATATTTATATATCCCTTATCCATATGTTACCCATATAAAGATAACAGCGAGAGAAAATATTATACAAATATTTGCTGTAAATCTGCAAGTATACCAAATCTTTCGAATTCCTTTGAGCCCATTAGCAGTTTTGTAACAGCTCGTGGGCTTCATTGTGTCTATCAGATCACATCCAACTAGATTTTCTTACAGGTTGAGCACAGGTTGTACCAGAAAAAGGGAGCTGAAAGAGTTTGCATAGCGTTTCTGAAAAAAAATGTTCGCTATTTACTGATAGCTGTAGTGGGTTTACGTGGCAAGGTTTTGGTAGCAGGGAGCCATAGGGGTGGTTTCTGTGAGAAAGATCTAGAAGCCGCCCCATGTTTGGGAAGGGCCCCGTTGTTTTCCAGATCTGAGCCAATAAGCGATGTTGTTTTG